TTGAAAGGATGTGCACTGTGCTTTCAACATAGCACCTAGCTAAAAGCTTCCTACTTTTGCCAGACAGAATTACCGATCCTGTAGGTATTACCTGTATTCCAGACAATGAAGCACATTTGCTTTTCATTTGTGGTGTGACATATAGAAATTCCATTAATGCTTATAAAACTCATGGTTCTCACACTAACTTTAAGCTAACAAAATCAATCTGTTATGTACAAAAAACCAAAATATACATGGAGATACCAAAAGTATACTTTTCTCTGTGTGACCCTCTTAAAAGGTCCAGTGAATTACAGACAAATGCCTTGAACTCTGAGGCTATAATACATGTGAAAGGAATGGATGGGATGAAGGTGACAATTCTACACTACGTGGAGGACAGACCCCAGGCTCCAAAAAAGGAGTCCTGCTTCTAAAAGAGTAGATCTTTTTTTCCTGATATCTCATATGTCATAAAAATCTAGTTAAAATTATTAATATCCTTCATACAAATTTCATAGCTGTGTAAAAATCTCACCCTTTTGTATCCTCTTGTAAATCATGAGTCTAACATGTGTTTTGTCTGATAAGCCCATTTTTACCTCCTACAATCCATTCTCCAGAAAGCAGACAAAGTAATCTCTTAAAAATCTAAATCAGATCATGTCTGATTTAGACATGATCTAAATCATGACTTTGCCTAAAACCTTTTTATCACTCCTCTTGGAATGAAATACGGATTCCACAGGCTTGTAGGATGGCATTCCTGTCTGCCATGGATTCTTCCGGTGTCCCTTTCTTCCCTGCTTGCTATTCTTTAGTCACATAGGTCTTTTTACTCTTCTAACACACTAAACATTTTTTCTACATCAAGGTCTTTGTACAATTGTTTGTGCTGTTTAAAATGCTCTTCTCTGGGTTAATTTTATGCAGGGTCCTACCAGCTTTCAAACTGAATCTTCAGGGAGGCCTTCTCTGACAATCCCATCTGTGGTGATTTGCTCCCTGCTCATATAAGTGTATTTGTTTCATATTACTTATATGTTTTGGCTAATTGTCTTATATTTTCTGCTCCCCTATGATGTAAGTCCTGGAAGACACAGACCAAACCTGCCTTTTCCTTACTGGATCCCCAGCATCTAGAATTGTTAAATCAATGGCATGAATAATAACTCAAGTCCAGATAGTCTAGTCAGATAATTCACCAGAAGAGCAAATATAATCTTTAACATGAGGACCATTTTAAGGTTTTCATTTCATGCCTAATTTCATTTTTATTCTGATATTCCAACAATCTTCCCTTGAAATTTCTAGACATCTTCTCTCAAATATAAAAAATTTCTATTTTGGTCTGCTTCAACAGCCCACTTCTGCTTTTATAATCTTAGTTTCCAAATGCCTATTTGTAACCACAAACTTCTTGTCTTCTAGAGTTCTTACTTTCATCCCACATAGACACTCAGGGCACAGGAGGGCTCAGTGGTAACCGAACCATGGTCTAGGAAGCCAATACATCAATATACGGGCAGAGTGTCTGCACATGTCAGGAGTCAGGGATGCACAGAGCAAGTGCCCAGGATGTTCAAGAGCAGCCTGGACACCAGCACCTAGCCTGGTCCAAACCAGCCATCTTAACCCACATGTATGGAGATGTAGGGACAGGAAAGATACACATCAAAATGAAGGGACCGAAATGAAGGCAAAGACAGGGAATGGGAAAATCACAAAAAGAGACAAGAATAACTCTTAGTGACTTTTCTTGGTTCTCCAAGACATTGATAGACTACTGAAATGCGCAGAAGGGATGGGGCAGAAATGGAGTTGTAATTCTTCTTAGAAACCCAAGCTTCTTTTATCAACTATGACAACCTTGTTTCTGACTTCCCCATCTCACCAAATCTACCTCTTGCCAGTGGTGTTCTTCAATACAACACCAATGGGCAGCTTACATACTTGCTCTTACTCAGCCTCTTGGCTGCTCTTGACTTTGCCTATGGTTCCACATTCGCAAAATGTTGTATTCTTTTGGATTCCATGATGCCATCCTCTCTCATTTTCTTCTTCTCAGTGTCTGCCAAGGAATCCCTATTCTCTTTCCCTTCCTTTTGATGGTTTTCTATCCTGTGTCTTCTTGTTTTTGAATTTTACATGTTCCCCACAGTGATCTCTGTTCGCTGTCCTGACTTCTAATTGCACTACAATTCTGATGAGAACCAGATCCATGTCTCTTGCATAGTTACATGACTGAGCTTCAAAAGCATGTGTACAGCCATTTTCTGGATCTTTCTCTCTGAATCTCTCCCAGGCACTTCAAGCCAGCATGTCCCAAACTGAATTCCTAGTCTTCCCTTCTCAGTTTCCTTCTATTCCAGCATTGCTTATTTCTGTTGGAAGTTCTATCATTCACCCATCCACCCAAGCCAAACACCTAGATGACAAACCTGACTGGTTTGCTTCCCTTACCACCCGTATCTATCATTTCATTCATTTGTTCAGCAGACTTTAATCAAGCCATGTGACTTAACAGACATTATTCTAATTATAGACTAAAGAATGGTTGGGGAAGCAGACACAATATCTGTCTTCATATAAAGCATATAAAGTACTGGCTGACCTTACTACTGCAATGTTTCTTTTCTTTGTCTCTTCTCCCCTCCCTTCCTCTTCTTATTGGCTCTCTCTCTCTCGCTCTCTCTTTCTTTCTCTTTCTCTGTTTTTACTAACAGTAGTTGGCATTAAGTAGATTTTCAATTAATCCTGTTTCAGTGAAGGAGTGAGGATACGACTATCTGAACATCTGCCAATATATATAGCAAAGAATATGAAACAGCAATCTAATGTCATTAGAAACATCTGTATCCGCACAATGTAAATGAATAGAGGCCAAAACATCTGGCCAATTTAGCTGGAAAATCCCCCAATGAAGCACTGGTATGTTTTATCTGTGTTATGCAAACACTCAGATGATCCGGGCTTCCGTGAAATTGACTGGGTACTTCAGCACAGCATAAGCTCAGCCAGACCAGTCTTGATCTCTCCTAGGAGCACATTATGTCTCTAAATTGTGAATATGGTTCACTGACTTCTGGAGTTAAGCATAAGTACAAACTCTAAATGGTTGTGATCATTTTAATTGGCTCAATCATTTCCAAAATGTTATTAGTGCCATGTGGTCATTTATAAATGTCAGCACACATTCACTGGCTCTTAAGTCTGAAGAAGTAAAAATGAATTGAGATTATTCATGCAGAAGATGGCACAGATTGGTTATATCCAGGCCAAGTTCAAACATCGTAAGAAATACATGTTTAGATACCAAGAACAACAATCTTTGACTAATAGAACATCTTCTATAATACATTTTATGACATCAGTAAACATCTTTGGGAAATTAGCAAAGAAATATTTCAATTATTCTTATAAAATTTTACCAGATCAACCAATCCTGAAATGAAACTCAACATCTTCATCTTTCTCTTCTTGGTTCTCAATTATTAGTCAGGTACAATTCTAAGGTCAGGTACAACTGAGATTAGAAAAACAGGGAAGTATTCCAATTCCCACACAGGTTTTATGGTGCCAAAAGGCACCATAAAAAATAGTAACCAAGAAAGAGAACTTTATGCAAAATTACTGAGGTATTCAGGGTAAGGCATGCACCTCTTTCTCTCTAAATAATCAGCATTCAGGCTCAAGCTAATAAGAGCAAAAGGTGCTGAGAGGACACTATCAGCTGACTGTGCACCTACTCCAGGGAGTATACGATTGTTATTTTGCATAATAACAAATTGTACCATGCACACCAACTCAGGGATGGAAAGAAGTAGACACTGAAATCAGTGATGACTTGTGTGGGGAAAATACACTTTTTAAAAAAAAATTAAACACTAGGAAAAGCATAGTGAAGACCTAAGAGAAAACTCTTTCAAGGCATGTGGACTAGGTGGTTCAGCCTGAAGTCCTTAACAGAATCTGGCATCTGGCACGTGCATTGTCTCATAGCCCCTTCCTAAAGAACTGGAAGGAAAGTACAGTTAACCTAACCTCACAGTGCCCCATTCAATGTCTTCATAAAACTACAAATGCTATTGGTCTGGTCTACTTACTTCATAGTACTCTCAGCTTCTGCTTGACTTGGGAGCATATCAGAAACTGTCAGATAAGTCTTATCTATTGGCTTTTTCCAGTTGTTTCATTTAAAAGTACAATTAACATAAATTTAACTACATGGACTCATTTAAATGGTTAAAAGGAAAACCCACTTCAGAGCAGGTGATTTTCTGAGAACTGAACAAGCATTCTGTATAAGACTTTGGATCTTACACTCAACTTGAGTTTTCTAGTGCCTCTTAGCATCTCATTGGGTTTAATGTGATTCTGGTATTCGAAGACTTAACTTAAAAACCAATTTTGATTATTAGTAATTTATTCCTTATGTAGTGACTTCATAGCACTGTCCTTCATCCAATATGCAAATCCAAGCTATGTAAAAATAGAATTATGTGGATGGCCTTGAAATTGCATGCCAATTTCAATTTGAACTCCTTTACTCTTACTCTGAATATCATTTAGTGCTGTTTTTTAATATTCCAAAACCAATGGTACGTTCCTGAATTTGAATCTCAGAGGACAACTCAGAACTGCTGACTACCAGCTGCCTGAAAAGGGGGCATTGCTTTTGACCACTTTCTCTTAGTTTAATAACATTGGGTTTATCTTTTCCAATGTGAATGATTTTTTTTTTGATAATGTTACAATTCAGCTTTACATGACATTTATTTTTAGCTTAAAAAAAGAAAAAGGAGAGGGTGTTAGAAACTATTTGGTATTTCTGCCATTTCCAGAAATTGCACACTTAGGTTAATTCTGTCCCCAGGAGATATGTTTGATCACTTGCAATTATGGTGCTCAATGGAGAAAAGGTTAAAGATGAATCAGTTTTCTCTGAGGCATCTGGGTTGGAGATGCACTGAGGCATGCATTTGCTGCTAAACCAGAAGAAGGAAGAGAGGACTTACATTCTGTTTCCCCACGATGTTATCAAAGGGAAGCTCGGGACTCCAGGACCCTTCTGTGAACGTTGCCCCACTGTTTCTCCTATCTGAGGAGCTCACTGACTCCTTCACAATGTCTTCAGGCAAGGATAGCAAACTCTCTTCAGGCTGCTTAATCAAATAAGTCTCTATATTATGCTTCCTCAAGAATTCATTCCTCTCTTTACCGTGACCTTCTTCCACATTATAGTCACCGTTGAGGCAGTCCAGTGTGGCTTTGGAGATGTGAATCCTCCTGTGTGTAGAGAGCACAGGCCATTATACATTATACATTACCTGCAATGACTACTGCTTTTTCCTGTCCTGTGCAAGGTTAACGTTGGTGCCACATATGAGTCACTGTGAGGACATCTTTAAGGATATGCATAAGCATAAATCCAACACCGATTTCACCCCATGGGACACAGCAGCCTCCAATAAGTGTAGCCCTTCTGATCACATCTAAGCATGTCTGTTTACTTTTTTTTATTACTGTCAGCATTTTTAAGACTTGAAAAACCTTGATTTTTTTAAAGTGGTATCGATTACAAGTCATGTAAGTATTTCTTAATCCCAGTGGCCATATTTGCCAAACCATAATGTAATAATTTTTTTATTTTCCTTATCATTTTAAGTACAGGGCAAGTTTTATAAGTCCATAGACTCCACTGAGGATCTTTTGGTGAAATCACTGTAAAGTACAATTTCCCTATAATACATGTATTGCAAGGAGCAGAGAACAAAGTCTGTACACATGTAAGCTGGCACCTAGAAAGACTTGTTCACAAGTTAAGCAACTCTTTGCTGCACAAAGAGTACAGCAAACTTTGCCACAGTTGGTCATGATTCAAGTTTTCTTTGAATTACAAATGCCTTAAGGATCAAACTTTGCATAGTAGTTCCTTGTGGGGAAGAGTTTTCCTGTTCTCATAAACGTCCAGTTCAATCAGATCACTTAAGATGCTGTACTGCCAGCTGGGAAGACTAGTGTTGTGCTCTTGAACATGGACCTTATTGCTAGATTGCTGGATTCAAACTCCAGTTCTACAACTTGATAGCTGAGAGATCTTAAACAACGACAACCTTTCTGTGTTCCTTTTCTCACCCATAAGATGGTAAAAATAATACCTATAGTGTATGGCCATTGAGTATTATAAATATTCTAAGTATTGTAAATATTACTGTGATATGTGTAACTTAGTCAAAACACTGCATGGTACACTGTATGTGCTATAAAACAAATATTAAATGATAGGAGTATTCTCAAAGATATCACTGTGATCATATTACATGATCACATGTACATTCCATGCCTTCTCAACCTCCATTCTCTGACCCTGTCACTTCAAGACTCATTTTCTGATACACCTTCATTATTGTCCCCCATGCTGTTTTTTAGCTATTCAAATAATTAGCACTTCTTCCAATTCAGTGTACCATGGTATGTTTGTGCACAGTGTCCTATTGCCTGATTCAGGCTCTTTTGTTGTCCTCTGAGTGGGTGAATGAATAAGGTACATACTTAATTCTTCTATTGGTTTTTATAATTCTAGAAATAATATAGCAAAGAAACAATGAAGTTTTTTGTTTTATTTTTTAAGAATGGCATTTGCAAGTGCATTATACTTTCGGTATTAATTCTATTTCCCATCTTATCCTTCTAACCCATTCTACTGAATTCCTGCTTCTCTATAGGATAGTAATAGAAAAAAACAAAGAATCAAAAACTACAAACAATGAGTTTTTCTGACCATTTAGGGCACATTCTCTACATCTTCCAAATATATTGCTTTCAAGTACAAAGTATTAAAAATAAATGCATGGAAGTCATTTGGGCTCTCTTGTGAAATGTACTTAATGAATAAGTATGGAATATTCTCATGATGTGTTTTGTTAATACATAGGAACTCATTAGTATTCACCTGGGAGAATTACAAATTATTTGACCTTCCATGATGTGGAAGTCTCAGTGAATCAAATTCAGGCTGCCTTTTTTCTCCTAGGAAAAATGAACTTCCTAGAAGGGTTTTGTAAAGTTTGATGGGTGATTTTATTTTAAAATAACTAAGTTAAATATCAGCCCTATTCAGAATTTCATCTGGATTCTATATTTTATTATTCTGTTCTGTGTTCAGGGGGCTAATATTTGCATATATACAATCAATATTGTGTTTTCAGCAGTGAAAGATATGTTTGCCTTCACTCATTACTGATTCTTCCACTGAAGTTTGAATCAATATACACTGAAATGTTTTGACAGAAACTGGGTTTCAGATGTTTCTTTTCATCTTTGCTACTAACTTGAGCTTTGGGGTAAGGCATTTGCAAATATGAGAGTTGGTGATTGCATTTTCCTCTAAGGAAATGAATCAGTTCTCTGAAAATATTCTCATATATTGAATGTCAGGTAAACCTAACATTTTCTGATCATTTAAAATGCCAAGATAGAATAATGATTGTCATGATAGTAAAATAAAGCCAACAATTCTGTAACACTTTACATAAATGTTATTTTTCAGCCGAAGGTATTACTGTATGTTTGGCTCTAAGGACAATCTCATAAAATTTCCATTGTTTCCAATGCCCAAGTGATAATAATTTCTTTTTTTTTTTAATCCTTTTGCAGGTGGTAGAACATGTCCAGGGACAATGAGTATGTATCTGGCCCAAAGCCTATCAGAGGTTGGTAACAGTGGTAGGTAGAGACAAGGGTTACTGCTTTGAGGGTCGCCATAAGACCCTACTACTGAATCATATGGTAACTTTTACAGCCACATCCACAATTAATATCTACTGAGTACAGGACAAAGGACTCTCTATGTATTAACTCATTTAACAAAAGCTTAATAGCAGTAGTCTTTGAAATGTGGTACCCAGGCCAGCAGGGTCACCATCACCTATAAACTTGTTAGAAAGACATATTGTTGGGTCCCAACACAGACACTGAATCTGAGACTCTGAGGGTGGGCCAGCAATCTGTGGTTACCAATTCCTCTTGCAAAATGCATGCTGCAGTGTTAGAACCATTGCTGTAAATCTACGGCTCGGAGAGATTAAAGAAGCAGACATTTAAAAAGCAGAAAACAAAACAAAATAATCTAAAACTCTGGAAAGTATGAGAAACTGTTCTGGAATTCCTGAATTTCTGCAAATGGTATGTGCAATCCCATACCTAAGCAGAGGTGAATGTTGTAGAGAAGCCTAAGTACTCTGTAAACACAATCACATGGTGTGGAGAGTGGATTATGAAAAGCTGCCTATGAGAACTAGATGTAAGCACGGTGAGATGCAGCTTAATTGCTTTTACCTGTAGGCCAAGATAGGCACAGCCCTGGCCACAAAACAGAAAGAAGCAGAACAGCTGCATTCCTAGGCTTGTGTTCAGAGAAACAGGAGCACAGGTTTCTCCTGTTACAATGTCACGCCCTCCCCGAGAGCCTCTGTTCCACCCTGTTTGTCACTGTTTATAAAGTGCCCTCTGAACAAGGGCTGGGGGCTTTTGCTTCTTTTTGGTCTTTGGCTTGCATTTTTCACTTTGGGCTTTTGCTTTGGGCTTTTTGGTGTGGGAAGCTTTTGGAAGGAAAAAGAATTACTGAAGGGAAAAGAATGGCTAAAAAGAGGTTGATAGAAAGTCTGCACCAATAACTTTTTATAGGCCTTAGAAAGCTAAGCAAAGAAAGAACTTTAACATAGGCTTTAAAAGCTAAAGAAAAGCCAAAGAGAACATGGGACAGTGCAAGGTAGACGACCAAGACTTTGCAAATCTGAGCACCGAGGCTTTAAGAAAGCTAGAGAGAATGCTAAAGAAAAGCTGCAAACCTAGGGGAAAAAGACTTTAAGAGTGCTTAGGCTAAAGATAAGCCAAGAGAAAACATGGAAAAGTGTGAGTCTAAGGAAACAGGTTTTTTTTTCTTTATTCATATATTCATATGTGTATGCATTGTTTGGGTCATTTCTCACCCCTGTCCCCCACCCCTTCTCTCTCCCCCTCACCCCCCTCACTTCCAGGCAGAAACTGTTTTGCCCTTTTCTCCAATTTTGTTGAAGAGTAGACATAAGCAATAATGAGAAAGACAAAGCGTTTTTGCTAGTTGAGATAAGGACAGCTATACGGAGAGATTCCTAGCATTGCTTCCATGCACAAGTGTATTACAACCCAAACTGATTAATCTCTACCAGAGGTTTCAAAGAAGACTTTAGAAGCAAGGTTTTAAAGAACTGCAAGGAGTAAGGCCTTAAAGAATAAAGATCGAGAAAAGTAGCAATGAGGGTTAGGGATCTCCACCCAAGTGCTCAATACATCTGACCCCACTTTGTGTCTGTTTATCCTTTGTCTTTTCTGAATCTCCAGTCACTCCCAGTTAAGCCCAGTTAGGTTCAGTAATAACCAGGAGTGAGAGAGAAAGCTCGCTTCAACAAGGGAGGGAGTGAGAAAACAGTGCCCCCTCCAACATGGGACACTAACTTTTGAGGGCTGATAGTGTTTGCATCCAATTCTGCAATGAAGCAACTGAGCAGGGAGATGAAGAAACTTGCTTCAACTTTAATAATTACTAAGTAAACTTATGGCTCAGACTCATGATTTCAACTTAGTGATTCTTCTGTTTCTTAATGTGACAGAGAACATTCACTAAAAAGTGGCTGACACAGGTCAAAGCAGTGTTCTACAAACCCCCAAAGCTGCTGTGCTCTAAAGTGTGCAAGGAGAACCTACTGAATGTATGGAGAATTCCCTGTCAGCTATGCTTTGAAGGCAAGATACAGCGCTGGCAACACAGATGGACTGCCAATCTGTTTTTACTTTTTTTTAATTTAACAGGTAGCTACTTATAGGACAATGCCAAAGGATTTAAAGATTTAAGAGACCCAGCAGTAACACGCCAGAATTAACTTAGTTCTAAACCTATGTGGTAGACAGGGGTACCATACTACAGACAGTGAGGGGCCCAACATGGGGATGTCTCTGCACAGCTTACAAAGTGTGTCTCACCCCTGGCCCTAATAGTCCTCAGAGGAGATCTGTGAAGTGGATTATGCCCATTTAGCAGATGAAGAAACAAACTTTCATGGAGGAAGGAAATAAATTCACAAGACACCATATTGTAAGAATTTTTTAGTGAAGAAATTGAGACTCAGAGGAGTTAAGTACCAGTCTGAACTCACATGGATACAGTGATAATGTTCACAATAAAATCTCATGCCAGGTACGAGGGTGAAGATGATACAGCATAGTGTAGGGCAGAGTGAGAGTCCTAATTTCTCTGATTCCACCTCCTGGAGTTCTTTTTCATCATGATATCACATTACTTGATGTTAAATATAATTAGCAAAGAATGATGACAGATTCTTGATTCTAAAGGCAGGTCTAGTGGGGTTGGGAAAAGATTATATGCAAATACACTGTCTATCCTTATGTGTATGTAGGTATGTATGTACGTATCATCTATCTGTCTCTATATCTATCTATCTATCTATCTATCTATCTATCTATCTATCTATCTATCTATCTAATCTCAGAAAGAGAGGCTGCAGCAATCCCCCACCTTTGAGATTTTATTAATTCCAATTAGGCTACTAGCATCTTCTTGGGTTCTGTATACCCACCACTCTTGCAAGCCAAAGTTAGAGTGCAGGTGAGTTTTCAAGAAAAACACTGAATTTTCAGAATAGACCTCATGGTCCTATATACATAGCTGGCCAGTAGGTCTTAATCTTAGCTGCCTACTAAAATTGATTTAAGAACTTAAAATAGATATTGCAGATTTTGTTTTAGATGAACCAGAATGGGGTGCAGACACTAGTATTTTTTTTAAATGCTGTGATTCCAATGTGCAGCCAAGTCTAAGAACCAATCCTTTGTTCATAAGAAACCTGAAAGCACCTTAGTGCTATCTCACAGTCCTGTTGTTTCCAAGACAATTCATTAGATTTTTAAGGGAAAATGTTGCATGGTTATTCCAGTACTTGGTGTACTTCAAATAATTGCTTTTTTGCCATATACCTCTGAAATCTGTACATAGGGAATCTGTTTTTACAGAATTATCAGATGACAAGGGTTAAGCAAGATAAAGGGCTTTGCGTTGACTTACCCAGGGATTCCTCCGGATTCGAGCTTGTTTGCAATGTCCACGTCCCAAGACCAGACATCAAACTGCCACTTTCTCAGGCCCAAAACACCACACAACACTGACCCTGAGTGGATTCCAATCCTCATGTCAACATCATGCTTCGTCCTTGACCGCACATACCTGTTGACATAGGTGAACGGAGAGATGCATTCATAAAGCCAAAGTGAGCATCGTTGGTCCCTAGTGGCAGTCCCAGTCTTGTCTTTTCCATCAATTCATCCCTTGTCCTCTTCTATGAAGCCTTTTTTTGTTTTCTGAGAACTGAAAGTATTCTCTTCCTTCTCTGCATCCTTTGCCTTGGACCTGTCCTTTCAAGTGCTCTTACAAACCTACTATGTAACCTCTGTCTCAGGAAATGGCACCAGTATCATTTCTGCCCTATATTGCATAAACCTGGGATATATTATAGCTTCTGTACCTTTTTCACACATTGCCTTTCCAGTGGAAAATTTTGTTTTTTGCTTCTTGGTAGTCCTTCTGGGAACACTCAATTGACCAACTTCATGCCTTGTGTTTCATTCTGGGGTCTCAGCCTCAGCTGGCCCTCTTCCAGCCCATGTTGTACATGGTTGCTAGAGGTTCCTTCTAAACACAAATATGACCTCATTACCCCGTCTTTTCCTATATAAAAGTCTTCCCAGACCTCTAACACCTTAGAGTAGTGGTCTCTAAAATGGATTGCTCACATTGCAGAGCCCAGCTAAGTCATCCATGGTGGTACACAATGGAAATGTTAGATTTCCACTCATAGCTTTCAGTTTTTAATCTTGAAAGAGATTTACCAAATTTGGCCTTTGCAACCTTAAGGGGCCCACATCAGGTAGTCCTCTGTAGGCACAGAGGAGGCATCTTGAGAAAAGAGGATTGCTATTATGGGAGGATTTTCTCCAGATGGAACTTTCAGAACATCTCAAACAATTTTAGCTTATAAGTAAAAAATAGCATTTATGTAGAATTTCAATTGGAAAAACACAATACTTTGAAATAATAAACTTGAAAAAATTTTAATTTCACAAATGTACAATAGTTATTTTACCTCAAAATGCTTAAAAGAGTTGTCAGAGATGAGTTATCCTTTTTTCTTTGACAAAAAGACAAATGTTACAAATTTGCTGACTTTTCTGTGAAAATGGGTTGCAAGTAATGTTCCCTCTAGCAAATATTTGGAAAAATCCTAACTCTTGCTTAATTTGTTTCTTCATACAAAAGATGATGGTTTGAGAATGTGTGAGAAAGTAAAAAAGTTTCAAAAGAAATTGATCTTCAGAAGAGAGCATTTGAAAATGGAGGTTGGAACAGGTTTCCATGATAATGGGAATTTTATTGTCAAACCTAGGTTACCTGATGTCATTTCTCAAAATTCTCAGAGCTGCATGACTACTAGCCTGCTGTAATCCTAGCTATGTGGGAGGTGGAGATCAGGAGGATCACAGTTGGAAGTCAGCCTGGACAAATAGTTCATGAGACTTTATCTTGAAAAAACCCATCACAACAAAGGGCTGGTGGAGTGGCTTAAGGTGTAGGCCCTGAGTTTAAATCCTAGAACCGCAAAAAAAAAAAAAATGTAAAATATATATACATATATATATATATTTAAGTGAAGAACTTCAGTGAAGTTTGAGCTCATTGTTAAAAAGATAAAAATATAAAATATATTTTAAAAAGGTATTGTCTTAGGTGTTTATAAAAATAACTGACAAATGTCAAGGATCAGGAAAATTGACCAGCCTGTCTTACACAGTATTTTAGTATAACTGATTGGTTCCATGACATCCAAAGATGCAAGTCCCAGCAAGATTTGCCTGCCTTTTAATTTATTTTTTATTAGCATATATCAATTATACAAAAGCGTTGCATTGTGATATTTCCATACAAGCATATAATGTACTTCAACCATATTCACTCCATCACCCTCTCCTTTTTCCCTTCCCATGGTTCCCATCCATAAGCACTCCCCCTTTTATGTGCATGTCACCATTTTTTATGTAGATTCTGCATACAAGAGAAAACACGCTGTAGATGCATTACTCTGGCTGATCTTACTTGATGCAATTTTCTCCAGTTCCTCTACTTTCTTGCAAAGAATATGATTTCATTTTTCTTTATGGCTGAATAATATTCTATTGTGCATGTATATCACATTTCCTTTATCTATTCACCTGTTGATGGGCACCTAGGCTGATTCCATAGCTTGTCTTGTTTTTATAAGATATTTAACTGTGATTATCATTAAAGCTCAGTGCAGTAATGAATTGAATTTAGAACATGACCTTGGCATTACTGTATCACAGAATACATAGTCCCCAACGTATGTTGGCTTGATTTAACAATTTCTTGACTTTGTGATGGTGTAAAAGTAAGACTTCAAGTATAGCTGGGTACCCATTGCTCACACCTGCAATCCTAGATGTCCATCAGCATCAGCATGCCTTACACTGTAAGGTTCATTTGCTTCTTAAAAAGTTTGAAACTACTACTTTATCCTAGTACAAAGATCCCATTTCATAAAGTGATTCCAAATTCAGGATCTCATTTTGACACCCATAGTGATTTGGAAAAATAGGTACATGTGAGTGTTATTAATTCCCACTTTATAGGTGAGGAAACTGAAGCTCTGATATGCTTTTTCTTTGTCAGGCTTTGTGTCTTTATAATCTTATCCCATCCTTACAACAACTCCTATGCTACACATGTAGTTCATCCATCCATTCATTTGAAAAGTGTCAGAAGTTCTCTACAGTCATGAGCAGTGAACCAAATAGACAACCAACTTTGTGTATTCATGGAGCTTATGTTGGGATGGGTTATTCTAGTCTTATAGATAAGAAAGCTAGAGCTGAGAGAGGTTGAGTTACTTGCCAAGGTCATACAGGTCACATAAATAATGGGACTCCATGGGTATTCATGATGCTGGATGCTAAGATGACTGGTTTGGACACTTCATCTCTGCTTGTACTCCTTTTATTCCTTCAGTATTAAAATCTTGCTTCTGTGATAAGAGAGGTAACAGAGAAGGCCTCTCCTGGCTCTACCACTGGAATCATGCCCCATTATTATTTTTTTTTTCAGACAGAGTCTCTAGTTTTGTCCAGGCTTGCCTTGAATCATGATTTTCTTACCTTTGCATCCTGAGTAGCTATGATCACAGGTATATACTACCATGCTTAGCTTATTTTTGAGATAGGGCCTCAATATCACTAACTTTTGCCTGGGCTGGCCTCAAAGCTTCATACTCTAATCTCTGCCTCCTGAGTACTCACAGTGTGTTTTATTCAAAACCAGGGTGGATCAGGAGAGCAAAGTGAGAGCAATGATCCAGCACTCACCACTCATTGCCAAATGGTGGGCTGAATCTTAGAAGAACAGTGAGAGACAGATGGTGGCTATGTACATAAGTCAGCATTTCTTCCATTGAACCAGCTTAGTATATTTAATAATTTCTTAACTGAAATGGCACTAACTCAGTGATGGGAGAGGCTTGGTAGGGGAAGGTGGGTAGCACCCACTGGTGCTTCTTTTATCCTTGTTAATCTCTTCTTCCCTTCTTAATGCCTAGTATTTAAGTTGGTTCCTTTTCTAGGATGTCCTCTGTCCATCCTGCCTGGAAGCTCTGCAATCCCCAATTCTGGGGCCACTCACTGTCCCTTTGAAGGTCACATCTGGTCACACAAGATGGTCTGCTACCTCATTGCTTCCCTCTACAAAGCTTTTTGGGTTGGAGACACAGTTTTTCTAAAATACATTGGGTAATACTCAAAGATAAAAATTTTAATTTTTCTCTGATTTCATGTGTGTCTAGTCATCTCAGCATGCCATAATAAAATGCTATAGACTAGGCCATGTATGGTATGGTGGTGCATGCCTGTCATAGCAGCTACTCTGAAGGCAAAGGTAGGGGGCTCTTGGTCTGAGGCTAGCTCAGGCAAAAGCATGAGACCCTTTCTGAAAAATAAACTAAAGCCAAAAGAGTTGGGGGCACAGATCAAGTGGTAGAGCACTTGACTAATAAGTACAAAGCCCTAAATTCAATGCCCAGGACCACCAACAAAAATATAGAATAAAAAAATGCTGTAAACTGGATGACATAAACAATAGAAATTTATTTCTCACAGTTCTGGAGGTTGGAAGGTAGGATGCCAGCATGGCTAGGCTCTGATGAACACTCTCCTTTTGGTTTGTAGATTTCTATCTTCTTGCATGGTCCTCACATGGTAGAGAGATTGGGTGAGCAGCTCTCTAGCATGTGTTCTCATGAGGACACTAATCCATCCCGAGAAATCTCTTTTAACTTAATGAGCTCCTGGCAGCTTCCCCAGACCCCATCATATCGGCAGTTATGTCTTTAACATGTGCACTCAGGGGGTAGGATACAAAATGTAGCCCATTCTAGTGTGCCTTATTACGTTAGTAAAAACTATACTTAAAAATTTTTATAGTAATAGACTTTTCCCATCTTAATTTATCTGCTGGATGACTTCTGTGGCTCTTAAACATAGAGGTCTCCACATCCCAAGAACCAGTCCCTTAGACTAAATCTCTCTACAAGCGTGTGTCACTTAGTGACAGCGATGCCTTCTGAGAAGTGTCATCATGCCATGCATATCTAGGTTATAGGTCGCTCCTGTTGACCAGAGCAACAGGACTGTGTTTCTATTAACACACACACACACACACACACACACACACCCCACACACATTCACCACACACACACACACACACACACACACACACACACTGTTTGCTCTGTTTTTCTGGAGAGTTCTAACACAAACAGCTTTCTGTTCACCTCTACCTGTCAAAACTTTTTTTTCCAAAATGATTATTTTCTTTTCTATTTATATCAGTTATACATGACTATTTCTGATAATTTTAAAATACAGAAAAGAATAAAGAAGAGAACAAAAACGATATATCTCCATCACAGAACTTGATATCCATCTCTCTTTTTTATAAAAACAGATTTTTAAAAAGCTGAGCTTGCCTTAAATGTGCATCTGCCTTCCACCATATACACATCTTTAAATTTTAAGCATTTTTATGCCATTGAATATTAATGAAGATTATGATGCCTGATGGTTGCTCATTTTTCTATTTTGCAGATATAACCATGGTTAGAACT